AATTTTTTTAAAAAAATAAGATACAGAGATGTAAATGTATATGGATATAGATATAATATATATTGAGAGAGAGAAGAGAAAGAGAGACACAGAGAGAGAGAGAGAGAGAGAGAGAGAGAGAGAGAGAGAGAGACAGACAGACAGACAGACAGACAGACAGACAGACAGAGAAAGAGACAGAAATATAAGTTTAGGTAGTGCTTGTTTGTTTAATGCTAGATGTTGAGCCCAAGGACCTATATGCGAAGGAAGTTCTCTACTATTGGTCTATAATTCTAGTCTTTGTTTATATTTTGAAGGGAAAAATTAAGGGTGCTTTTTTAAAATAGCAGATAAGAAGTGGCCAAATATCAAAGTCACTTGTCAGTCCTAGAAAGATTAGTAAAATTGGGATGAATTTTTCATAAAAGAAAAACACTACTCAAGTCAACAACTTCTTTTTTTTTATCAATTTTGTGGAGAAACAAATAGCAATGAGACAGTTTCAAAACCAATTAGTAGGACAGTTATTCATAGTACAAGATGCAGACATGATATCCTGTCCAAACACTATTAGTACAAATATTTCTTCTCATTGAATGAAGAGAAAGTAGCTGTATATCTATCCTAACTATTTTGTATATACAGATATAAAATGGTCCTTCATTTGTATCCCCTTTTTTGGTTTAGTTTTGTCAGAGATAGGCATTCCAACCTTGCCAGTCCTGCAGATAACCCACTACTGTTATGGACTACCCGAGTATATTAGATTGTTTTGCTGAATTCACACACCTACAATATTTAAATGGCAATGGAATACCCATCTCTTTCTGATATGAGATGGAATTTCAGAATCATTTTAATTTATATCACTTGAATGACCAGTGATGTTGAGCACTTTTTCATGTATTTATTTTATGTTTATATTTCTTCCTCTGAGAAGTATATATTCATCTCAGATGCTCATTTTTTAGGTTGGGTCTTTAAATTTGGGGGTCTGATGTTTTTGAGTTCTTCATATATTCTAGATAGTAGTCTTTTGTCTGAGGAACAGCTGATACTTTACCCCACATTGTGTGCTCTCTCACTTTGTTCATTGTTTATCTTGCTGTGCAAAAGCTTTTTAGTAAAATGTGTTCCCAGGTGTTGATTCATTGTGATAGCTCCCAAGTGATCAGGGTTTTGTTCATAAAGTATTTGCCTACATCTGTATCTTCAAGAGTTCTACTTATCCTATATTCCAAAAGATTTAGTGTTTCTGTTTTAATATTTAGATCTTTTATCCATTTTGATTTTAGTTTAGTGCATGGTGAAAGATACAGGTCTAGTTTTAATCTTTGACATGTGGAAAACCAGTTTCTCCAACATCATTTATTAAAGAAGCATCTTTTTTCCAGTGAATGTGTTTGGCATCTTTGTCAAAGATAAGGTAGCTAAGTCTGTCTGGAGTTTATTCTGGATCTTCTAATTGGTTCCATTGATCCTTGGGTCTGTTATTCTGCCATTACCATGCTGTGTTTATCACAGTAGCTTTGTAGTATAATTTCAAGTCAGGAATTGTAATGCCCCTTCCATGCCTTTTATTGACCAGAATTACCTTTGCTATTCTAGATCTCATCTGGTTCTAAATGCATTTTAGGATTGTTTTCTCTAATTCTGTGAGATATTGTGTTGAAATTTTGATTGGGATTGCATTAAGTACATACAACAATTTGTAAAATGGTCATTTTTACTATATTGGTTTTTCTTACCTAATAATAAGAGATAGCTTTCCATTTTCTGATATTCTCTTCAATCTCCTTGGGGTTCTGAGTTTTCAATGTAGAGGTCTTTTCCTTCATTAGATTGATGCATAGGTATTTCATTTTTCTGAATGCTATTGTGAAAAGTTTTGTTACCCTAAGTTTTCTCTCAGTAAGTCTGATTAATTTTTACTTACTTACTTACTTAATTAATTCTAGCAAGCCAGCTGTAGCTTTATGGTGGCATGGTGGATAATCCTGGTGTGCATGCACCTTTAGCTCCGCTGAAGTGCAGGTTGGTTTCTGGCTATAGGGCCAGAACCAGACCCGCAGCCCATGTAGCTCCTGCAGGCTTGGACTCAACTCCATGCCAGCTTGGACTCAGCTCTCTGCCCTCTTGTTAATGTGAGCTCTGTTCCCTGAACCTCATGCTGGGAAATGCTAGATGGAGCCAGCAGGTGCTCTGAGTTCCAGGCTAAGATGTTGTCTTAGTTACTTCTCTCTCCTTGTTGAGACAAAATAGCCAACACTCAAAATTAAGCCAGGAAAGATTTGTTTAGTTCACAGTTTGTAGAGGTTTCAGTCCATAATCAGCTAGCTCCAAGGCAGGGTGGTGTGGCAGAGGGCATTAGTTGAAGAAAGCAGAAGTCAGCAAAAGGCAACAATGGCAAAAGCAGGGGGAGCAACCTTTTTCTTCTCCCTTGTTTTGAATGGACGTCCTCCACTCTAGGGTGGGTCCTTTACACCAACACAATATATGTGCTCTCCTCTTGCACAGACTCAGTATGTTTACAAAGTGAGAACTCTGGGCTCCTTCTGAGTCCCTTAGTTAAACTTCTAAAATCCTCCAGTTGACATAGTGTATCAGCCATTACCATTGGCTCCTCTCTACGATGGCTCCACGCCAATCTCCCTCTCCTGCAGGATGTCTGAACCTAAATAAATCACAAGCCCCTGTAGTCCACTGGCTACATCCACTGCTCTATTCCACTGGTATGTTTTTCACTGGAGGCTTTTGCTAGTGGTCATCCTGAATCTACTGATTTGAGCGACCCCTCCCATGTAGTGAGTCAAAGTTCATGGAGGAAGCATCAACCACTACCTCCTCCTTCTTCACTGAATTCTTTCTCTGAAATTTCTCCATGGACTTCAGTTCTCCTTTCAGATCTTTCCTGGGTCCTGAGGACCCACCTCCCTCCTTCTCTTCATGTTGCTATATTCCAGTGTCTGGATACCAAATCTCAGAGACGATCTTCCCTTGCTGCTCACCACTCTTCTATCTTCCAGAAAGTCCTCATTTTAACTTTAAATTCATCTATGATTTTTTTATTACCTTGATTCCACAATTTAAGTGCTGTAATATAACTTTAAAATGAAGGTAATAATATCTATTTATATTTATTTCATAGGGGAGGCCCAAAGATTAATATTTTATGTAAGCAAAAATGAGTTATTTCAGTGACAGTATAGTCTAAGGTATTTAAATATGAATGAATGGTTATGAAAGTATTAACTCTAACTGAAAAGCAGCATGAAATGTGTGTGGGAAGTATCTTGGACTTTTAAAAGAGGGTCACAGCTTTTATAACTCTCAAAAAGGATTGCCCTTTTTTCTTGTGCATTAATTCAGGTGTAAAAGTACATCAATATTGCTTTAGGTCATTAACAACTTTTTTCTTTCTTTCTTTTTTTTTTCTTGGCAGAACCAGGGATTGAACTCAGACCCTTGCACTTGCCAGGGAAGCGCTTATTCCCCTCAGCCATCTCCCTGGCCCCAACAACTTTTTTCTTTAGAATTAAGAGGCAGGAAACTTAATAGACTACCAAGGTTTTTTTTTTTTTCATCCATTCAAAAGTATTTATTAATTGCATCTTCTCTCCTAAATACTATATGTAGTATTATGGGATAAAATCATAGTTCATGCCTTAAAGAGACACACACACTAGTTGAAGTTATAGATGTATAAATGATGATGTGTAGATAATCAAGTCCAATAGAAATATGTGGAAAAGAACAAAGTACAGCCAGTGGGAAGAAGTCTTCTCAGAACAAATGATGTTCAAACCTTAGGGAAATACTTAGAAAGTCACCAAATAGAAAAAGAGTATGTTGTATCAATGATTACTGGGGTTTTTTTTGTTTTTGTTTTTTGGTACCAGGAATTAAACTCAGGACCTTGAACTTGCCAGGGAGGCACTGTGCCACTGAGTTATCTCCTTGGCCCAATGTTTGCATTTTATAGTTTTCTATATTGTATTTCTGGATCCTAGCCTGAGCAAACACTGTAATGTAGAGGTTCTCAAACTGTTCACTGTACCCTTTGGATTTCAGTATTTCCATACTCCTAGGCCAAAGGAAACTAAGAGAGTAATTAAAGACCAAAATGTATAATAGATATTGTGAAATACGAAGAATTTGTTCAAAAGGAAAGAGGAACTAAGAAGGGGAAAGTGGGACTGAAAAGGAAAAGAAAAAGTGACAAAAAGATAAAATGGAAACAAAGCTTTGTAAAAAAGGAGAAGAGGGGTTGAAAAGAGGGGAAAGAATTGGGAAAAAGAAAAGACAAATCAAGATATATCATTGTTGTGGTCTGTGTCTAGATGTTCCCACAAAGACTCATGCAGTTGAGGTAGATTCTAGTTTTTGATTGATTCATGGTCCAATGTTGGGATTATGGGTGTGAATGCTACATCCACCCTGGGGCAGATCATCTGCATACAATATAAGCGAGAGAAAGAGGCTTGCTGTTCCTCCCCTTTCCTTTTGCTGCTTTTTCTGTCTTCTGCCCATTTAACTGTGGCCCCTGTGTAACACCACCATTCCTTGGAGCCAGCTGAGTATGGACTGAAACTTCCATAAGCTGAGCTAAATAAACCTTTCCTTCCTTAAATTTGGGTGTTGGGTATTTTGTCTCAGCAATGAAAGGAAAGTAACTAAGACAATCATATACAAGTACAAATTCCCTATGATGAATATGGTCATTATGTGTATTTAAATTGTACCAATAAACTTTAATAAAAGAAATAATTCATAGTTTTATTAAGTAGGTAGTTCAAAAACCTTATCAATACTTAATGTTCTAACAAGTACTCAGAATATTAATGGAATGCATAGGCTTGTTGGGCACTATACGACTTCTCTAACATTAAAATAAAATTGGGCATTGCTGTCTTTCTTGTTCCACATTGATTTTCACATAGTATTTGTTTTTATCCAACCAACCAAACAAGCTTCAGAAAGATATAATGGCATCAAAAGTGATACAGTGTACTTGGTGCTGAGACTATAGGTAAGTTCACTCTGTCTCCAGCAGATGTGCATCTCAGTTTTTTTTTGTCATTTAAAAATACCCTGGCATTCCTGTGAGTTCTCTACAGGGTGCTAGGATGGTTTGGTGCACAGCTTTTCAATGCTTTTTTTATTTTAAAGAGGAAAAGAATCCCCAAACAAATAAGAACAAAGACAAAACAGCATAAAACGATAAAAATACAGAATTTCAAATCAAGAATAAATAATAACAATGTGTTGTTATATTATGTATTGTTATCAGATTTGTTCAGATTATCAGATATAGGCATATGAGATTGCTCAAAGAATTAAACATTAACTCTTCCTTTCAATAAATTTTAATTTTTTTCTTGTCCTTTTTATATGTTTTAATTTAGTTTAAAGAGAGTGTAAAAATAATAGCTAAGACCTTAGAGACGATACACATTTGAAAAAACAAGATAGAATGTATTCAACCATGATTGTTATATTACACATTGCTGTCTTCAATGTAGGTGCTCAGACTATAGATATTAACATATAAAATTGGTCAAAGTAAAAATTGTAAGCGTTAACTGCTACCTTCAAAAAGCTAATAGAAATTAGTAGTACAATCATCTTAGCTATCCTGTCTATATTCGGCACACAACTTTGGAACTGTAACTTTGATGAGTTAATACCCTTGGCCAAGCTAAAGAAGGTAGTAGTTTAATATGAGATCGCAAGCAAAAGAATATTAGGTAATACGACATAAGCAGTGATCATTTTATTTGTTAAGGAATTATAGGGTTGAAGAAAGTTGGGTGCAGGTATGATGGTTTCTACTTTTGAATCTTGTATTAGCTACTGTTGTATTTTAATGAACATTTTTACTACAATCTTTTTAACAGATGGATGAGTTGCATATATCTATGATCCAGTGGATGGTAAATTTGCTCATTATAATGATTCCTGACTTTACTGGCCATGACACTCTCCCAAAGTTGGAGGAGGAAAGTACTGAGAAACATGACATGGGAATTGCACAGTTAGAACTAGATGCAGTTGTACTGGCAAAAAAGTTGTCTCAAGATACCAGCTATTTGAGCAGGTGAAGCTATCTGGTTATTTTCTTTCTGGGCATTTGAACATTAAATTTGATGTAAGGCAAAGAGGACACTGAAATAACAACAGAGGGGTTATTTTAAAACCTTGAAAGAAATAGTAGTTTGGTTTTTTAGTTAGTCTGAACATTGTGGTCAGGGCCAGTATGAGATTTCTCCCAATAGTTTAGAATTCTTTTGGAAATTGTGTAGCACAGAAAGCATGAAAAAAAATGCATGTATATGGGATAACAATTGTTTTTTTTAAAGACCAACTTATTTGTGTAAGTAAGATACATCTTATACCTTTGCATATACTGGGAGGTATTTAAGAAACTTGTATTTTAATGTATAATTCCATGCAAATCTGAGCACTTGTGTGTGCTCCACTAAATGGCCACCAAAATATCTTATTTTAAGAAAAAGAAAAACATAACTGAAAAGTTAGAAGGTTCATACCAAACAATGATCAGGCCTGAAAAATTGTTACATATTAATTAAGGCAAATTGTCACTGTAGTTACCTTAAAGTTTGGGGTAGTGGCTTTTTGCAGTCTACCCAATTTTTCTTTAGTTTTTCTCAATTCAGTTTTATCAATGGTCAAGGATGAGAGGAATAGAGAAGGAAGAAAACAGGGTGAGGACTTCAGAAAGGGTCAAATTTTCTCGGTGAGTCAGTAGCTGAACTATTAGAGTAAATTCTACTGTGTCTGAATTTCAAAATTTAGAGAAATCAACAATGAATCATTCTAGGTATCTTCATCAACTTCTCATTACTAAAGTTAAATATCTGATATAGTTAACTTGTAAAGAGAAAGGTGTATTTCGACTCACAGTTTTGGAGGTTTCGGTCCCTGATCGATTGGCCTGGTACTTCAGGTTCTATGATGAAGCAGCACATAGTTGCAGGAGTGGGTGGCACAATGAAGCCACCCACTTCATGAGCCAGGAGGGAAAAGGGGAAAAGGAAGAGCCTGAAGCTCCAAGTTGGCCTCAGAAGAGCACATTGTCCGTGATCTGAGGTCCTCACTTCCTCAAGGTTCCACCATCTTCCAAGCGTTATCTTGGATACTGAACCTTCAACACGTGGGCCTAAGGGGACACGCATCCAAACTGAACCAGAGTTGTGCGCTCACTCTTTCTTTTCATTCTTTGTGTGTATGTGTGTGTTTCTTAATTTTTATTTATTTTTTAAAGAAAATAAAATTAAAAAACCCATTAGAAATGATATAAAATTTCATTAAACAAAGTAATAGGAATTAGATAATGGTTATTGTATTGCACAATGTTATCTTCAAATTAGCTGTTTAGGTTACCAGATATAAATCTGTAAAACTGGTTTTAAAAATACAAGAAATTAAAGCTCTCCCAGCGAGAGAGAGACATGAGTGGCCAGGCCCAACTGCAGCCTCAGCCCAGCCACTGCAGCAGCACGTAGCAGCCAGACACAAAGAGAGGGCAAGCGCCAGCTCCTCCTCCTTTCCATCCTCCAACCAGCAAACTGAGAAAGAAACAAACACCCCTAAGAAGAAGGAGAGTAAAGTCAGCATGAGCAAAAACTCCAAGCTCCTCTCCACCAGCAGCAAGAGGATTCAGAGGGAGCTAGCCGACATAACTCTAGCCTCTCCGCCCAACTGCAGTGCTGGTCCTAAAGGTGACAACATCTGTGAGTGGAGACCTACCATTCTAGGACTCCCAGGATCTGGGTATGAAGGAGGTATATTCGTTCTGGATATCACTTTTAGTCCAGAATATTCCTTCAAACCTCCAAAGATTACATTTTGGACAAGAATCTATCACTGTAATATTAACAGTCAAGGAGTTATTTGCTTGGATATATTGAAGGATAATTGGAGCCCAGCACTAACTATTTCTAAAGTCCTCCTTTCTATCTGCTCACTTCTTACACACTGTAATCCTGCCGACCCTTTGGTGGGAAGTATTGCCACTCAGTATATGACCAGCAGGGCAGAACATGACAGAATGGCCAGACAGTAGACCAAGAGATGCACTACATAAATTGAATTGAGTTTTCACAATTCTTACATTATTTGTCTGTCACAGAAGAGAGCTGCTTATGATTTTGGAGGGGCAAGGAAGGGTGGGAGTTGGTAAAGAGCAGGGTATTTCTGTAACAGATATTATTCAGTCTTATTTCCTAAGATTTTGTTGTAACTTAGGGTATCTTCCTACAGTACACAAAATTGGTATTAGCACCTTTTAAAAGTCATTAGTTCTACAATATTGGCTGAAATATAGTATGGAAAAGAATGTACATTTAGACATTTGAATTCTATTGCTTATAGTATGTAATTTTTAAACAGCTTAATTTGTACAGGTTACACACATGGCCATTACATAAAGTCATTGTAAGATGGCATACTTTTTGTTGTTTTTTTTCCCCATAATCTTATTGAGAGACAAATAGCAATGAGACAGTTTCAAATACTTTTTGTTTTAAAAATTGGTATTTGTCCCCTTCTTAGAAGTGAGTGTGGATATTTAATAGTTTTTAAGACATATAT